TTAGTATTGATTTTTAACAGTTCCATTCTGAGTGTACTTATTTTATGCTTTATCAGTGAAGAAAAGAATGCTGAAATTTAGTGCCTGCCATTTTGATTGTTCGACGCCATTTTTCTTTTACTGACGTTGAAAGAGATTATCATTTTGGGGGCTGTTCGTTTGATTCATAAATAATTTTAGCTTTTGTTTATCAACTTCATTCTTCAAAATGTAAAGTAAAATTATATTTTACTAGTTTTAAGCCGTGAAAGTTTCACAGTTTTTCTATTTTAATATTCTGATAATTTTAATTCTTCAGTTACTAATTGAGTAAGCTCATAGTGAGTTCTACGACAATAAAATACCTGTAGAAACTTCCCTATCGCAAATATTTGAGCTTAACAACTTTAACAAAATATTGCTATAACAATCATAAATATGAATGTAAGTCTTCATTTTAAGAAGTGGGTACAAATGAAAAGATTTGACATTGAAAACTTTTCTCATTTCACCGAAACAGACGTTAAATATTTCTTTCCTTTTTTCTTACATTCATTTTCTCACGGAAACAATGTTGTGTTTTTTCTCTCTTTCCACAGAATCCAAACGGAGTAGTCCATTATTTATGACGTATTGGTAGTAGACATTAAACACTTTTTATCATCCATTTTTTTCATTCCTTTTTTCTTTCTTGCATTAATTTTCTCATAGAAACCAAGGTGTCTATTTTCTCTTTTTACCACAGATCAAAATGGAAGAGACCATTATTGATTGGTATTCGTACTGACAGGGCTTAACGGTCGAGCTAACTAACTAGCTAATTATATATTATTATATACGAGGTCTCGTGCTATATAAAATCAGCACATTCGTCAATTAATCCCCTTCAAATAGATGAAGCCACACACTTTATCGAAGGTCGTTACCCTTTTTTTAAGCGTTTCACCCCAAGCAAGGCGGGAAGCCACTAGGGGATAGATCAGGGCATCTGGAGACGTCGATTGACATTACATTTAAATATCTGGAGATTATAGCTATCAAGGAAACAGGAAGAGGGGAAGGAGTTCCACAGGCGAGAGGTGCGAGAAATGAAGCTGTTGGAGTAGAAGAAACGGCTGCATTTAACAGTTTCGACAGTGAGAGCGAGATGTCAGCCTAGTTGAACGCTTAAATTCATGAAGTTTGGGAACCAGCGAAAGTTACCATGAAAGTATTTATAAAAAAGACAGAAAGTGTCGACGACACGTCTGTGAGAGAGCGACTGCAGACGAGATGCCAGATCAGGACCAATTACGTTGCATATCCGTCTCTGGTTGATGGAAGTATTCCTGAAATACCTTTTTTCTGCCTAATCTTATTCTCTTAAATTGCTTCGACGTATAGATTTTTTTTCTCAAGTGTGAGAACTACAGAATATGGTAGTTGTCGAACCTGGGGAATGTGGTCATTGGTCAAAAACTGCTGCACAAGCCATGGTCACTGATGGAATCTCTGTAGTGTAGTGAGATGTCCACACTCTACACATGTTCCTTTCATCTCAAAATGCTGACACGAAAACTAATTTTTACTACGTTACTTAAAAACCGAAAACTGCAAAGAATAAATAAAATAAAAATAATATGCAAAAACAAGTAAAAAAATTAATTCTAATAAATAAAGTAAATAATAAACAAATTAACAAACCACTTCCACCAAATTAACCGTTAGAATAGGCTATCCCCAATGCAATAGACTGACTACACCACTCCCCCATATATATAAATAGTCAAGAAAAGCACAAGGCGTGTTGCATGATTATTGTGTTTAGCACAATATATATATGTATATTTGTCATATATATATATATATATGTATATTTGTCATATATATATATATATATATATATATATATATATATATATATATATATATATTGTCATCCACAGAGAGACTTTTTCGCTGTATCACAGCTCATCATGCACATGCTCCAAGTTAGCGGGAAGGCAAAGACCGGCGTTGCATTTTCCAACTCCTATCGATAGTGGAAATAATCGATTTTTTCATGCTTCTACGGCAGTTTTCATGTAGTTTACGGCCATTTTCTACTGGCCAGAGTGAGAGCCGATAGCTGGCTGCCACGAATAGGCAGGAAGATTCTATTGGCTAGCGTGTGAGCCAACAGCTGACTGACACGAATGTTAACTAGCATGCAAGAAAAATCGATAGATGCATTCGTCAGAAGTGGGAAATTTTTAAATCTGCATGGCAGTTTACTCCAACTGGCGCATTCGCTTGCTTAAACTCAACGTTGATTCTGATTCCGCAGAACTGGGTTGGGTGTGAAAAAGTATTTGTAGTTAACATTCTTTTTTCATTCGGTTTTTCCAGTTAATAGTCCTTTTTTAAAGCTGATCGTTTTGTATTCATTTTGTTTAGTTCTTTTTTCGTAACAGATTTAATGTTTAGTATAGAGCATAGAAAAAAATTCGCAGTGTGAGATAGGCAATAAGTAAGGCATGTAGCAACATCAGCACGTCAAAAGGCACTCCTTAAATGCAAGGAAGGGTAAAAAACATTTTAAGTCAAGTGATAGCGATTGCTGTATGATTCGTACGATTCTTGAATCAAGCACGGGCAACGCCTGGCCATGCTGCTAGTCATTTATAATTGAATATAATAAAAGTTGCCATTAGACTTTGGTATTGTCTCTTAATTATATTTTAGATTATTCTAACGATGTGGTTAATACTCTAACGCACTAAAAATAAGATAATACTAATCCAACATGTTTCTTATTCTTTTTTGATTCACAATTACTTCGCATTATTCCTTGGTTCAACCAGCAACTGGGGTCTGCATCATGGACAAATCATCATGTGCTTCTTATTCCATTACTAAGTAGTAAGTTCGACTCGGGCAGATTATTCCCAAGAACGGTTACTTTGAGAAAAAGGGTCCCAGTAGAAGTACATTTCTATTAGCTCGATTCATATTATCTGTGAGGAAATTGTATAGCATTTTGATACCATATAGAAGGATTGATGCTACATAGAAATTCAGCACAGTTTTATCCGTTTCTAACAGAATTTCGCTATCTCTTAATGTGATGTGGTAAAAAGCCTTTTATAATTCAAGAAAAAACATGCTGTTGCACCATATCTTCCAGTGGGATTTGACAAGTTTTCTATTTGCGCCTTTCCGTTTCTATGTTTCTACATTTCTCGAAAATGAATTTGATTTGTCAAAGTAATGAACACTGGTTGCTAGTTCATCCCAGTTTAGATCAAGTGTCAAATTGTCGCGCAAATGTAGCGTTGCTGTCCAATTTGAGCTTGGAGCTTCACCAATCCTCACTCTCCAGCCTTGATAAATTTCAAAATCCCTTACCCAGGTCTTATTTTCCACTCTGCAACCACTTACCCCAAACGCAGCGTTGCAAGCTTATCGCTACTCAATCGCTATTTTCATGGCAAAACTTCAAATGAGTTCCACTCTTTAGTTTCCCCAGGCCATACCTTTAGTGTTCCATGTTAACAGCAGTGTATGATCTCAGCTCAGCTTTTTCTGTTGGCCGGCGATCGCCAATTGTTTCGGTTCAGCAATGAAAACAGAGAATTTTAACTATTTTTATTACTCATGTCGACATGTAATTTATCTAACTATACAGTGGAGGTCGTCCATCCGCACTGGGGAGCCGTTTCGGACACGAAAGAGAACATGCCTATAGTTTAGATGCATTTAAACTGATCAAATTTTATTCCAGAGAACAATAAAATTAAATCTTGTTTGATTAAAACCCTGCTAACATGGAAGTACCCAAGAATCATTTGAGGCACATAATGCTTTATGAGTTCAAGAAAGGAAACTCAGCAGCCAAAGCGGCTAGAAACATTCATTCAGTTTATGGAGAGGAATGTGTGAATGAAAGAACTTGCAGAAGATGGTTTGCAAAATTCAGAGGTGGAGATTTCACCCATGAAGGTGAAGATCGAACCGGACGTCCAGTTGAGTTTGATGAAAAGCTTCTTGAAGCAGCCCTTGAAGAAAATCCTGCTTTATCAGTTGAGGAATTGGCAGTGGTTCTCAGTTCAAACCATACAACTGTTCATCGTCATCTTCAACAACTTGGAAAAGTTCCTAAACTTGGAAAATTGGTGCCTCACGAATTGTCTGAAAACAACCTCAAATCCCGAATTGACATCTGCTCTTCTCTCCATTCTCGATAACTTGTTTCACCTTTTTTGGATAGACTTGTGACTGGCAATGAAAAATGGATCTTTTATCGAAATGTTAAGCGTCGTAGACAGTGGATTGATAAAGGGGAAGGGCCCCAGCCACAGCCGAGAAGGGAACTTCATGGGCAAAAGGTCTCTTCTTTCAATCTGGTGGGATCGCCAATGAATAATCCACTTTCAATTCTTACCACCTAATGCAACAATTAATGCTCAAATATACTGTCAGCAATTAGAGCATTTGAACCAAGTTTTGAGGAAAAAAAGACCTGCTCTAGTGAATCGAAAAGAGGTGATGTTTCATCAGGACAATGCGCGACCCCACACAGCAAGAATCACGTCACAAAAGATCGAAGAACTTGGTTGGGAGAAAATTCCTCATCCAGCTTATTCTCCCGATCTTGCTCCTTCAGACTACCATTTGTTTCGTAGCTTACAGAATCATTTGGAAGAAACAGCTATTGTAACACAGGAAGAGGTTAAAACTGACATTTGTGAGTTCTTCGAATCAAAGCCAAAATGATTTTACAGTAATGGAATTAGTAAGCTTGTTAATAGATGGAAGGAAGTCATAGATAATCAGGGAAAATACATTGTTGATTGAATCTGTAATTAAATGTAACATTTCGTCACTTGTTTTCTTTATTCAAAATTCGGACAGAACTTATGGGATGACCTGATAAAATCGTTAAGCAGTACATAAAATTACTTTTACGCAGCACTGTATGTATGTATCTCTCTCTACATATATATATATATATAGGTGTGTGTGTGTTTGTGTCGGTGGGAGTCTGTGTTTGTGTCCAATACTAGTTTCGTTTCGTTTCTGTCGATTCTGTCTGGCAGACTTTCCAGAGTTCTTCCAGCTTAGCATGAGAGGTTGTGGCGGTGAGTTGCTCTCTTGGCACGAGGAAGAAAGCAGCACTGTCATTTTAGAACTGACGCCGCAGGGCCCGAATTCGTCATTCACTTCTTTACACTTCCCCCTCATCTCCTCGGTGAGTGAGGGTAGAGCCACACCGAACTGGCCAATCTGCTTTCTGTAATCATCAGTGAGGCATCGACTCTTTGACATAAAGCAGAAGAACAGTAGCCTGAAAGGAAATCGATATATCGCACATCGAATCACAGAGCCTTTCAAAAAAGATAAAAACAAAATTCTATGCAATATTCAAAGGACTATTATTATCTCTGTTATTATGATCATTACATTTCGTTCATTGGGTTCTTTGGCGATCATATTAATTTTAAGAAATTTTATATGAATTATTGACCTGATTGTATGGCGGATTTTGCCTACCGGAATAGGTATAGTTCCGGTAGGGTCTCTAGGGTAAACAAGTATGATGTTGAAAGACCCGAAACTTGTCATGACCCCAAGTCAGTAACATCACAATAATCTTTGTCAATTTTATATTTCAGTCTTTATGATGGTCGATACTTGATCTATCGCTTACTGTTACATCCCCGGGCAACGTCGGGCTCTACTGCTAGTCTTTACTAAGATAACTTTGGGTACAAAGTTGTTCACTCAGTATTATTCGTCTGCTCTACATACTCGCAAATTATTACTCCTCTGTGACGTACCCTTTATGGTGGTGAGTTTTGACTCAAATCTAGAATCATACGGGATCGAACTCACTACCCAGGAATCATCAGTAAGACCAAAGTTTTTTTTTTTTTTTTTTTACTCTTACATCTTAAATATTTTCAGTAGATTGAACAGTTATAACAAATTTAGTCCACGGGATAAAATTGAACTCAGTGTAGATTACTTCTGTTCAATGACCTAAGATTTTACAAAACCAAAACACTAAACCTGTAAACGAGAGACATTTTCTTAAATATCCTCGTTAGATTTAGACTTTCATATGGATGTGATCTATACATAAAATTCTGTGACTTCTGTCCGTCCATCCACCCGAAAACTATAAGCAAATCAAAATTCCAAACGCTTCAAAATGTTCGCTGATCGTACGGGAACTGATGTTTCGACGCGATATGGCCGTAAGCCTGGTTAATTAGGAGAGAAATGGCTATATATCCAGCAAGAAAGTAGAACGCGAACTACAAATTGGGTGGGTGGGATCCGAATCAAACAAGTAGAGAAAGTTAATATCTAGGAATGGAAAATGTGACAGCAAACATCGAAAGCGTATTTGGAATAGAAAAAGATGCCTTCCAAAAGCTAAACAAAGTATTACGAAATAGGAAAATTTCTTTAGAGAAAAGAGTGTTAATCTGTTGCGTGATATCAAACCTGCTATATAGCTGTGAATGCTGGACCATCTCATTAGTAATGGAAAAGAAAAGAAATTCAGGTAACAGAAATATGGTTCTGCAGTAGGATGATGAGAATATCTGAGTAATGAGGAAGTTTTAAAGAAAATTTAATTAAAATGGACACATATTTAGAATCAGAAAGAAACGGTTGAAATTTATATGATATAAAATCTATATATAAAATTCTGTGACTTCCGTTAATCCGTCTGTCTGTCACGCCCTCTAAAATAGCCATACATTCACCGATCGAAACCAAATTTTGGGGAGAAGTGAAAACAGGTAAGGGGGTACAAAATACAGTTGGTTTTACTAGGGGGCGTAGCTTAGGACAATAAATTTTCATTCATTTCTTTTTTTAAAATATTAAAAGTTTTATTTAACATACAAATTATTCCCACTATTTTGTAACGATTAAAATAAGAAATACTTATTTAACAAAAATGCAGTATTGGTTTTTGCATAAATTTTCTTTAAGTTTTTTTATACACAAGAATCCAATTTCCAGTTCGCCTTGTGTTTGCGAGAACTATAAACAAGACACAAAGCCAAATGTTTTAAAAAGAAAGTGGGGATTTTGTTCCAGAAGAAATATTTATACTTGGCCACTTGTTTTAAGACATTATTATGTTTATACGTTCTTCTTTTATAGATACAAATATTTAAATAAATGCTCTGTTTATATATAAACAGTATTAACAACATTTACCGGCCTGAATGTCCGAGAAATTGTCATAAAAAATATGCATCCTCCGACAGGAATCGAACCTGTATCCTATACGGAACCGTCATATAGCCTGACGTGCTTTTAGCGATTAAGGCTATATGACGGTTCCGTATAGGATACAGGTTCGATTCCTGTCGGAGGACGCGTGTTTTCTATGGCAATTTCTCAGACATTCAGGCCTGTAAATGTTGTTAATACTGTTTATTATAAACAGAGCATTTACTTAAATATTTGTATCTATAAAAAAGAATTTATAAACATAAAAATGTCTTAAAATAATTGTCGGACTTTATCCATTTCATAATGTATGGCCACTTGTATATTGCATGCTCAAGGGTAAGAAATCCTAAGAATTTATTATTTACTGTTAAAAAAAAAAAAATTCTTAAAAAAAAATACTGTCTATCATGAAGTTCTTTAAAATTGGATGAAATTGAAGAAATTATTAAACCATAACGTAGGTTTTTTTTGTTAAAGTAATTTTCTAAATAAATCAGATTATTCATATTTCATCGGTTAGTCTGACAAATTGAACGTAACGTAGAGTTGGTAAATCTCTAAAAAATGTAAGTGATAATTTCAACAATACTAAATATTGTGAAGATTTTAACATATGTCTGCGCTTTGTAAAAAATTCTAGTGCCTTTAAATGTTCCTACTTGATTGATTTTAGCATCTCGATGTTCGCATCTTCGGCTCTCCCTTCTTAAAATTAATATTTAATTCTTTATTCTCACATTCCTTTGCTACCTTCTATCGAAGTTTCTGCTTTTTCCGTCCCGTGTCTTCTATCAACTCAATGTCATCCACGTATTGTATGTTGTTGAGATTGTGTCCCGCAATAATAAATCCTGTTAGGACATCTAGTTCTCACAGGATCGACTCACTGTAAAAACTGAATGGTCAACCCAGAAAAATATTAGTGTATAATCTAGATTCGATCTAGATTTATGGCCTTGCTCTAATCCTGGATATACTTTATAAATTGTTTGATGGTTCTCTAAAGACATCAAATTTGGGGGAAAGATTTAAATAGGAAGTGAAGTAAGCTAAGCTAGAGAACAAATACCAAATCACGAACCAATTGTAGAACAGCGAAACACGATATAAATCTTTGGAATTTATCTGATAATCGTAAATGACAATCGAAATCCAAACAGATTGTTCGTAAAACGTAATAAAATACCTTAGGCACTCAGCTGTCAATTCTTTAAACCGTGTATCAGAGGAAGTGAAAAGCCTGGCGAGTAATTTTGATAAGCCTACTTTAAAATAGGCTACTTGACATTTAGGAATCCGTTATTAGTCGAAAGTCTTCCCATAGAAGAGAAAAACAGAATCTCTATCTATAAAAGGCAGGATGTGTGTGTGTGTGTGTGTGTGTGTGTGTGTGTGTGTGTGTGTGTGTGTGTGTGTGTGTGTGTAACGAATGCAGGGCCGCAATTTTCGACGGATTTGCACCAAAATTTACATGGACATGCTCCAAGTTAGTGGAAAGGCCAAGACCGAGTTTGCATTTCCCAACTCCCAACGATAGTGGAAATAATCGATTTTTTTCATGCTTCTACAGCAGTTTTCATGTAGTTTGTGGCCATTTTCTACTGGCCAGAGTGAGAGACTATAGCTGGCTGTCACGAATAGGCAGGAAGATTCTAATGGCCAGCGTGAGAGCCAACAGCTGACTGACACGAATGTTAACTAGCATGCTACCATGCAAAAAAAAAATCGATAGCTGCATTCGTCAAAGTGGAAAAAATTTAAATCTGCATGGCACTTTACTCCAATTGGCTCATTCGCTTGCTTAAACACAACGTTGATTCTGATTCCGCAGAATTGGGTTGGGTGTGAAAAAGTATTTGTTGTTAACATTCTTTTTTCATTCGGTTTTTCCAGTTACAAGTCCTTTTTTAAAGCTGATCGTTTTGTGTTCATTTTGTTTAGTTCTTTTTTCGTAACAGATTTAATGTTTAGTATAGAGCTTAGAAAAAATTCGCAGTGTGAGATAGGCAAGAAGTAAGGCATGTAGCAACATCAGCACGGCAAAGGGCACTCCTTTAAAGGCAACGCCGGACCATGCTGCTAGTGATTAATAAAAGTAATACCTGTATGAAGTTTTTAAGAATGTATTTAACCCTTTGAACTCTGCGCTCCTTAACAGTTTTAACTCTTCTGACCGAGCTCCTGAATCAAAATTCGCAAATATGCATGTATTGTTTCACGGTAGATATAAAAATAGTTGCATGTGTTTACCCACCGTTCAAACGGTGGTTGGGTATTGAGTCATTTTTCTCTACCACCGGTGAAGCGGTGGTTAGGGCACAAAGGGTTAAAATACAGTAAACTCTCGGTTTAGCGGACATTACGATAGAGCTGATAAAATATTCTATTTTATTTTATTTTTGTGCATTGCCAAATAATAAATTAATAGTTTATACAGAGTGGCCAGAAGGAAACTCCATATTTAAAATTATTAATAGCTTTCTCAATTATTGATCGGTTTTCACGTTTTATTTGAACCATATAATGGTTGAAGTACCGGATAGAATATCTGTATATTTTGTACTTCTTTCAATCAAGATGTCAAGCACGATCACTTCTGCGTGTCTCTACCATAGACAATTTCCGATGGTTTTTGTCGTCTGCTGAAGGATGAGGTCCATGAACACGAACAGCCACACTTCGTAACGGGACATTAGTTGATCGCTCGTCCTGTGTCAGGCGCTGTGCCATTCTGGGCTACCTTGTCATTCTGAAATCAAATCAGAAATTAGCAATGAAATTCTACCACTTTAGGGACCGCAACATATTTTTTTCATGCAAATGTGGGGATATTAACAAGTATAAGTAATTTTCAATAGGGAGTTTATTTCCACCCAGCATGTAAATAAAAAATTAGGGTATATATTAAATCTATGTGGATTTTTAAATATAGATATTTTTTACAATTACATTAATTTTGTACATGGCCCAATAGCCACTCGAGTTAGAGCGTTATAGTGTAAGAGGCATCAGTATATATGGGGAAGATACCGGTTAACCTTAGACTTGAACAGGTTAAGCTTTGTAGT